CTGAGAAATAATTGCACATTTCATGTTCTGTAATATGTTGTTATAATATTCGAATAATTTAACGTTCATGAATAAGTGTATTAACCATCAGAAAAATCAAAACAACAAAAAATATCTAGATCTGATTTTAATGAAAGTATTAATGATTTGTAAGACTTGCATGGTTGAACGGGACAAATGCGCCATATTGGGGGGAGGGAGAAGTGATTTGAGTCTTGAAAATATGTAATTAGTCTTCAGTACTATAAATGTAAGAATATCTCTATATGTCTTTTCTATTTATCACAGAGTAGGTTTTCTTAAAGGGATTATAAAGAGTCAACATTTTAACATTATAAAGCGGATAGTTCTCGACACACCTGGATTTGACGGCTCAGATTCGACGATGGGCTGTGAACACTATTACTGACTTAGCTAAAAAATTCCTGTTTCTCAGACTAATGTATGATTAGTCTGATAGAATGGAGATAGTGTGCATTTTTAATTTCATATTCCAAAAACCTTTCATTTGGAGAAATTCTAACAATGATAACAAGTGTGACATTAAACAATCGAGAAATATAAGATGAAGTCAAATAACAATGTCAGGAGAAAGTTGAAAAATGAAAGTAAAAAATACAAATTGATTACCCACAATTTGTTGGCTTGTAAATTGTTTTACCAATATATGGAAGATAATTCCAACCTTCCAAAAAGGTTTTTAAAGGAATACTACCTCTTACAATGATCATAAAATCTTCAAAATACTTCATCAAAAGTACAGATTTAAACAAAGACTGAAATCTTAAACGGAATATTCATGTGATAGATGGTCAAAGTCTCTGTCATGTGTGACATATTAAATATATATTTTCAAATAAACAAACAATCAATAACAAATCTGTTTCAACAACAGCTGTTTTCATTACCATCTATAACAAGTAAAATTTATACTGAGATATTCCTACTAATCAAACAGGATTCTGACAACTGTGTCATTAGTTCAGTCTATACATGCACACTTTTAAAAACTTGTCGTTTGTTTAATTATTCATTTAGACTCCTTGACTCTTGCTTGTGTATTGCAGAGAATGCATTGTAGTAATAAAACTTACATATGCCTTAGTGTTTTGGTGTTGGTCAAGTGAAAACTTGCTCTTTTTCCTGGTTATTTAGTTATAAACTATTTGAGCAGATATCATTTTTTTATATATTAGCTTGTAGCATAATGGCATAATAAAGAACTGGTTTAGTGATAGTGGCTGTAAACTAATATATTTTCAAAAATAAAAAAATAAATACAACAGCATTTTCAGCTGTAGATTCTAAAGACATTTGAACATTTAGACAAATTGACAGATATCAAAACTAAACTTTTAGTAAAAAAGAAAAGGGTATTTATAAGAACATTAGCACCCATACTGAATAACAAATTAAACTAAATTGGCTTTCATATCCATTCATAATAATAAACTAAAGATTGTAAGTTCTACCATATTGGCAGAATGCACTCAAATCATAACATAACATAAACATAACATAAAACTCTGAACGAAACTGGGAACAAAATTATAGAGAGTTTACGACTAGACAGGCAAACAGACATTAGTATCAACATAAAAATGAGCAGAGCCTTAAACAACATGTTTTAGGTTCTGTTTGAATATTTTTGTACAACTCTACGATTGATTTCTATTTCAACAGTTAAAATATTTTATTATAGTTAACAGGTTATTGATAGAACTTACATATATCATATGACCTGTACATCTTATTAAATTTCCCTGAATATTCTTCACTGAAATATATTTGAAAATATAAAACATTTCAAATAGGTTTCAAATGAGATCAAAATTGTTTAAGTTTTTGGTTTAATTTATAAATTTTACATTTTATACTATACCATGATGGCAAAGGCCATTCAAATTCATTAGGCACTACACCATCACATTTTGATTCAAAAAAGGCAAATAAAGGAAACCATATTCTTGTTCTTTTGGCATCTCGTTGCATTAAAGAGCGATTATTTGCTAGAGTATGATAATACATAAAAAGTCGGGAAGTAAGATAAAAGGCTACAAAAACGTCAATTGAATAATGCTCATGAGCTGCTAATATAAAAAATATACCAAATAAATTAAGTACCCATGTTACCATGTGGAGATAATACATTCTGGTCTTGGAAGAATCTACAATGAAAAGAAAAACTCTTTTTTTAATCCATCATGAATTTCTGAAAAATATTTTTGATGAAAAATTAATCCAAGAGTATTCCAGTAAAATAGAGTAGACATATTTTTATGCCTTATCATTGTCATAAAACCACAGAAAAAAAAAATAAAAATAAATAAAAGTGTCTAAGAATTTAGTATTCCTGCAACTGAGCTCCATTTTATTTCTTTTGGAAGTTATTTTTGCTATTTTGTATCACTATCAAACCCATTACTGAGCAAGGTGGCTAAAATATATAGACTGTAGTGTTCTCTGGTAATTTGTGAAAGTCAGGTATTAGAACAATGGCAATTATATTTACTTACATTCAGTAATGAAAAAATTTAACAAAGTTAATATAACAGTATGTCCACTAAACATGTAATCACCACACGTTCTGACACCCTGTAACGTCATTCCTAAACCTTTCCAAATTTCAAATGTTCTTTGAAGCTTAGTCCATATATCACCATATCTCTACAAATAAATTCATTCAGGTTTCAAAACTCTTAATCATGACACACTTCAGATAGATGAATTATTCTGTTTAGGACTTACCTTTATTATATCATTTAATCTTATGATTGCAATTTCAATAGATCAGAATGTATATCTCTCAGTTTAACAAGGCAATAATTCTGAAACCATAACACATTTTACAAAAACTGCTTTTGCAACTAGAATATTTAGTTTACAAATGACATAAGGTTAAATTTGTTAAAATGCAAGGAAAATGTGAAAAACAGACAATATTTTGATATTTCTGAGTACACAACATTCTGAAGCATTTCTTGAGTCTAGATTTTTTTCCATTTGTCTTTACTTAGACATATTCTGTTTTTAATAATTCAGTTAAATAAAAAAAAAATCATCAAATTGAATTTACATGAAAAGTACCTACCTTTCCAGAACATTGTAAGTGAACACCTGGTACTGACATGGATGTTATTAACATTGTAAATGATCTTAATAAAAATACAGTTCCAGCCAGGGAAAAAAATCTTCTCATTATAATAAATCTATAATTATAGTTGAATGCAAGTAATGATTAATCATTATAAAATACAAAACATCAGATAATGAATAGATTTGAAATTGAAAATCAAGATAATAAATTTCAAATCTACAATCTGAGATATTCTGAACAAAATATTCTGTAAAAACATTGTAAATAATATTTTAGCGACATCTAGGGGTGCAGATAACATTAAATAACAGAACATAATTTTATAGTAAATTTAGGAGTATACCATAAAATTGTGTTCCTTTATTTAAAATATTGTACTTTGCATTTCATACAGTAACAGGTTTAGTTTGACAGAAATACAGAATAATTTTCCAATTTCATACTAATTGTAAAATTACCTATGTTTGTGGAAGAAAAGCAGGGTAAACCAACAACCACCTAATATCAGACCAACTAACTCACAAACTTTAAAAGCCCATGGTACATATGGCATATTATCTAGGAATAAATCTGGCAGTGGAGGGAATTTCTGCATATCAGGCACACGGTCGTGAACTATAACCATTACAAATGACGTTAACAGAAAGACACAGAAGACATAAATAAAGCTTAATGCAGTTTTCCATATTTCAGGGTCCAGCTTCTTAGATCGCATTTTGCTCTGTGGTCTTCTTTTATCAATTAAAGAGTCATCGCTGTCTTCAGAGTTAGAAGCATTAGAACTAATTGAGTTCAGTGTTTTCCTGTGATTATTCTGTATCATTTGATCAATATTTTCAATACCTAGAGATTGTAAAACTCTAGAATTTTGTTTCCTCAGCAGGCCAAGTTTTAAAGATAGTTTTTTAACATGTCCTAATACTTGAATGTTGAGAGGTGGCTTCTTCAAGTCATCTTCTGTTAAAGTTAATAAGGCAATACCATCAAATTCATGCTGATCACAGAGCAAAGGGACATAACTTTCAAAACCATTATCTTTCAACCACTTTTCAACTTCTTTACAGCTCCAAGATACAACATTACTATTCTGTTTCATGATTGTTAGATTTGAAACAACTGAAAAATAAACCATTTTTTTTAATAAGTAGGCCTACTTACATCATGGTGTGACGGTCTAAATCTAGCTTGCCTCACTAAACCTCTGACTTAAAGATGGGTTTCCTTATTTTTTTTAGAGTCAAATTAAGCAAACTGAATTATCATGTATTTTTTATCATATCATTATGTCCTTATTGCATATAATTAAGAGTTTTTGTACCAATCTTCAATGTCCATGTATGTACAG